AGTCGAGTCTCGCCCCTGGAGACAAGAGGACTAGCTATGATTCAGGACCTCGTTTGATGTAGCAAGATGCCGCTTGAGCCGGGAGCGTGCGCTGCCTGTGTTCCTAGCCAGGATCCAGCACCAGAGGTGGGGTAAGTGACCTTTACTTCAATTCTCATCTGAATGTTGAGCAGACTTTGTCACTTTGCATGGGTTTTTAAAGCTCTGGCAATGGTTCTGGTGACCGTTTGGCTGCAGATGGAGATGGCCTCACTTGAATCTTGGTGTGGACTTGCTGAAGGCCACAAGCTCTTGTGCATGAAGAGTAGACCCGTCCTCCTCTGCTCAGCCCAGCTGACATTCCGTGCAGTAGTATGGACAGCAGAGTGGGCTGAAGCGTTCTGGGAGGAGGATTGTGGTCCTGGCTCAGAGGTTTCCAGAGTGCAGGATGTAGCAGGGAGAGACAGGGAGGTTTCGGGTGGTGTTCAGGGCTTGACCAGGGGCTCCACCAGCCCCTCGCTGGCGTTCAGGGCTGCAAAACAACGCAGCCAGTTGAAATCCAGGTTATTCGCAACAGCGCAGCCTATACGCGGCGGGACGGTGAAATGTCTGGCCTGCCCCAGCAGCCAGCAGAAGCAGCAATTAAACCTGTATTAATCACTAGAGATGGAAGGGGTAACGTCCACTTAATTGAACGTAAAGAAGGCTGCAGTTCCCTGGGGAGGCTCTGGGGTGATCGATCGCAGCAGGTAGCTGGAAGATGCACGTTGCTGCATCTCCGGGGTGGGTCTGCAGCCACGCCGAGTACTTGGGGCCCCACGTGAGCTGCAGGCAGGGCGGGCAGGCGCCAGATCTCTGGGTACCGGTTGTCTCTGGCTGTGGCACTGCGTAAGCGGGATGGGTCACCTCTCGACCCATCGAGGCACAGGAAAGTAGTTTCATGACCCTTGTAACGTGCTCAGAGATCTGTGGGCAATGGTGAGGTGGTCTTCTCCAGGCTCACTGCTCCCCTGGGCTGCCAGAAGTGGGGCAGGGAGGGGCAGAGGCAGCTCCTCCATCCCTCCATGCCGCAGCGGAGGCTGGCAGAAACCAGGGTCTGTCCCAGGCAGCGAGCGTGCCGGCGCTGATTGCTGTGCTTGAGGACTTGGGCGGTAGCCGGACAGTGGGCTGCTGAGCTGCGGCTCTCGCCGAGATCAGAGGCACGAGGCCCTGCTGGTGGCTAAGTGCTTCCTGCTTTGGAAAATGAAAGGTCTGCACTTCACCTGATTACGGGGCTGGCAGGCAGCCTGCGCCTCTGACAGCGCATGGCATGACATGCGAGTGACAGCGGTGGTTAAGCTCCCATCTCGTCTGCCCCTCCTTGCTACCCGCAAAAGGCCGGTGCCCAGCTGCCCTGCACGGGATATGACGGGCACGGGCCGGCATGGAGACTGG